AGGGTTTCACCATGTTGGCCAGGCTGGTCTCGAACTCCTGACCTCAGGTGATCCACCTGCCTCAGCCTCCCAAAGTTCTGGGATTACAGGCATGAGCCACCGTGCCCGGCCTGATGCCTATTCTTCATACCATGCTTTGCAGGCATAGAGTGAGTCCCTGGAACTCGGGGCTTTGAAGTGACACTGGGCATGACTCACTTATTCAAGCACGGATCACCCTGACCATGCTGGGGAGGCCTTGAAATCCCAGAGTCCATGCACAGTTCCTGGCTGCTTCTATAAATGTGCCCAGCCCTGAGGCGTGGTGACTGTAACCTGCTTTTCCCCGTCAGCCGGGCCCTGGGGAGCCCAGGCCTGCCCTACATAAGTCTGCACCTGGGCCGCACGGGACTGAGTAGTTAATATCATGGATTTCAGGCAGAGTGGAGGAGGAGGAAGGGCTGGGATGTGGAGGGGACCCTCAGACAGGTGTCCTGGGCAGAACACTGAGGGCCACCTGGCCAGCGTCAGCAGTCAGAGACTATAAACCCAATGGCAATGGACAAACAGAGGGTACAGAATTGGGCTGAGCGGTGGCATGCCTTGGGGGGGACCCTGAGGCAGGAGCCAGGGCCCCTCCAGGGCTCAGGGCCAGGGAGCCAGGGCTGGCATGACGAAGCTTAAACCACAAAACAGAAGAAAGCAAATCTGCCCCATTCTGCCTTCCGGGATGTCTCGCCCACACAGCAAGAGGACCTGCACAGGACAGGACCCGGGGGTGGGGCTGACCCGTGCAGGGTGTGCCGACCAGTCCTGAGGGGCTGCCCTTCAGGGTCCCTAGGCCGCCGGCCCTGCCAGGGGCTGTAGGAGCAGCAGTGGGGGAGGACAGAGAAGGCAGCCGAGGCAGAGGGACCCTCTCCAGCTGGCTCCTGCAGGGCTACGGCTCTGCGTTGCTGCTTGCCTGTGCTCCAGCCCCTGTAGCCTCCATCCCTCGCACAGCACCCCAGACTGGAAGAGCCCATGCAGCTGCAAGACAGTCCCCCCTCCCCTCACAGCCAAGCACAGCCTCAGCCCCAGTGTGAGGGTCTGGGACAGCAGACTGACGGGGGCAGGTGGGAAAAGACCACGTGCATGATGTGTGCATGTGACTACATGTGTGTACATGTGTAAACACACATCTAAGAGACAAGGATACACCCTCAACTCTTACTGCTCCCCGCACCAGACCCTCAGGGGAGGCTCCGGACCCCACATGTGCTTCCAGGTGGATGGCGAGGCTGCTTAGAACAGTCTTCACTCCAGGCAACACCTGGGGAGGATCCTGGGGCAGGAGAGTGGGTGCCACGTGTGGGGCCTAGAGGACGGTCTGGGAGGTCCCAGGGGAGGGAGTGACACCTGGGGCAGGGCAGGGCAGGGTGAGGGGAGGCTGAGGCTGGGAAGCTGAGGAGACCCGGGCAGCTCTGGGGCCCCAGAGGCCTCAGCCTGGGGGAGCTGCCAGGTGCTGGGGAGATCGTGGGTGCAACCCAGCCCTGCCCTGCGCAATGCTCCTCAACCCGTGCCTTGTCACCACCCCAGACCCTGGGTCCTCCCCACTCTCCCAACCCTCAGGGACCCTCTTTCATCCCCCAGCCCTAAGGACAGTATGTGGCTGCCCTCCCTGGCTGCCCGCCACCCCTGGGCTGGAGCTCCAGCCTCCTTTCCGCTCCTTCAGGCCCTGTCAGTCATTTGCCTGCTCCTGCTGGCCAGTGACCTCTTGTCCATTTGCTAAAAGAGCCATTGTTCAGGAAGAGATGGAGGGGAAGGGCCGGCTGGTCAGGCCTGGGTACTGGTCAGACTCTGGCGTGTGCCAGTGGGTGGACTCGGTTGTCCCCTGGGGCCAGCTAGGCAGCCCGTGGGCCGTGGAGGCAGCGTCAGGCAGCTGGGGAGGCCTGAGTGAGCTCGCAGGCCACCTCCCCTCCTCTCAGCGCCTTTCTTTCCAGCTGAGCCTGAGGGAGGCTGAAGAATATGCATTTTGCCCAGTAGGCTGCTACAGCCTCTTGTCCAGCGCAGACCCTGGGGGTGGGGGACACACGGGGGCTCCCCGAGCGGCCAAAGAGGCATTGGAGAAGGGACTTCCCTGAGGCGGCCTCTGGCTGGCGGCAGCTGGGAGCCCTCTGCTTGAGGAGCGGCTGTCACTGCATGGCCCCTGCAGGCCGTGGAGGCTCTGTGGCGGGATTGGGTGAGGAACATTTGAGCCAGAGGCCAGCCTGGCTCTGCGCGGCCCCGGGAGGCCAGAGGTGCCTCCTCTGTCATCTGGAGGAGCCGGCTGCAGAGGCCTCCTGTTCTGTTCCTCAGGCAGCGGCCCCGTCTGGCGTTCCCAGGCCACCCCAGTGCTGGGGGAGTTGCAGGTGGTGGGGTCACCTTGGAGGGGGTACAGCCCGTTCACATCGGCTCTGCTTCCCTCTCTCCCCACCCCCACGGGCTGGCTTGGCTGAGCCCGACGCTTCTCAAGGTGAGGGGGGCGTCCTTGAAGGCTCTGGACGCCCCACACCAAGGTCTTTGCACCAAGGTCATGGCCGCACAGGAAGCGGGAAGGGTGGCGGGGAGGTTATGGTCCGAGGGAGGAGGGAGGGCAGGGGAGGGAAATAAAAAGAGATTACATTTTTTAAAAGGTACTCTAGCTGTCTGCTGACACCGCCCCTGGTCTCCATCCGTTTTATAGCCTGACGGGCTTGAGCAGCTGGGCCTCGTCCGTGCGTCAGGGGCCTGCAAAAGGCGGGGGCTGGGAGCAGAGCCCCCGCAGGAGACCTGGATGGGGGCCACCTCTCCCCGGGCCTGGGTTCCCTCTGGGGCTGCCCAGGCCGGGCAGGGGCGCTCTGTGCAGGTGGGATGGGTGGAGGGAAGCTGGCTTGGGGCCGGCGGCCACTATCTGGGCCCATCTATCCCCCTGACAGGTCAATTTTCTCTCGTGTTTTACAGGAGCTTTCAGGGCAGGAAATGTGATCGGGCAGCTGATTTATCTCCTTACCTGGTCTTTGTTCACAGCCTGGCTCCGGCCCCTCACCCTGCTGCAGGGCCCGAGGACGTCTCCCCAGGGGTCCCCACCTCGGCCTCCTTGGGGGGACTATGCTGAGCCCAGCTGCCTCTGTGAGATGAAGATAAGAAGAAGACATGAAGGGCCTGCCTGGGGGCAGTCTGGCTTTCTCGCAGAGGGGCTGCACCTGGCTCCCTCCTCCCTCTCACCAGCAGCCTGCGGGTGGTGAGGATGAAGGGGCCGTGGGGCCAGGGTGCAGGGATTAGGAGGAGGTGACTCCCATCTCTTCTTCCTCATCGTGTTTTTCACCTCTTAAGTCAACTTTGGTTTCTCGGACTCAGAGTTCTCTCCTGACGGCAGCGGGGTCCTCAGATCACCGGTGCAGACAGGGCCAGACAGGGCCAGTGTGGGGACCCACTCAGCCTGTGCCCTCTGCAGGAGGGAGGGCTGAGGCCTCAGCAGCCACCCTGGCCACCTCCTGAAATAGTGAATGTCCTTCGTTTTCAGCTGACAAGCTCTGATCTTATAACAAGGTACGGAAGTGTTCAGAAAACTTTCAGCAGATGTTTGAGGAAAAACAGCTCAGCTTCCCATGCCCCCCACCTCTGCTAGGAGCGACCCCATCTCCCTCAAACAGAATTCTGGGAACCTGGGACCATAGGTCTTCCTGTGCCTCCCCTGCCAGCTCTGCACGACTTTGTCACGTACTAGAGCGCTGACTGAGGTGATGCTGCCGCTACCAAACAGGTGGGAGGCCAGCCCCAGCCCCAGCCCCAGCCCCAGCCCCACCGGGGCCGGAGCTCCCGGTGAAGAAGCATCTGCCTGGTCTGCAGGTGTCCAGGACACACCAGTCGACTGCCTGACTCCCGGTCAGGCGAATGCACACATCAAGTCCTTGCAAGCCAGGGCTGTGCTGGCATCTCCAAGAGGAGGAAGGGTCCTGGCCCTGACCACGGGGCTCCCTTGATGGGAGGGATCACAAACTTGGCTTCCTGGGGGGCGTCGTGGGGTGCGCTGCCTGCCAGGAGACCCATTCCTGGTCACGGGGTTCTGTCCCACACAGTGGCAGGAGCCACGCATGATTCTTGGTGGAAGAAGGTCCGCACAGCTGTGTGGTCTCTGCGGCCCGGCAGGGAAGCCCCCACGTCAGCCGCGAGGGAACTTCCCAAAGCTCAGCAGGTGCCTCTTCCAGCCGTCCCCCAGGTCTTCTCTTGGCCGCTGTCCTGAGCCTTGATCCATAGCTGACACTTCTAGAAAAGTCTTTACCGAGAAACAGACCGGCTGCATGGGTGGTGGGGAGTGCAGTCGCCCAGGGCCTGGAATCCGAGGGGCCTGTGGCCAAGGCTGTCCTGAAATTCTTAATCATTTTACCTCTGAACTTGTGGGGTTTTTTGTTGTTGTTGTTGTTGTTGCTGTTGTTTGAGGCAGACTCTTGCTCTGTCGCCCAGGCTGGAGTGTGGTAGCGTGATCTTGGCTCACTGCGAGTTCTGCCTCCTGGGTTCATGCCATTCTCCTGCCTCAGCCTCCCAAGTAGCTGGGACTACAGGAGCGCACCACCACACCCAGCTAATTTTTGTATTTTTAGTAGAGACGGGGTTTCACCATGTTGGCCAGGCTGGTCTCAAACTCCTGACCTCATGATCCACCCGCCTCGGCCTCTCAAAGTGCTGGGATTACAGGTGTGAGTCACTGCGCCCGGCCAATAATTTAAAATTTAACATTTTTCTTTATTTTAGAAGGACATTAAATAGCAAATAAACACCCTGGCAAATCGTGTGACTGTGAAGGAGAAGGAAACGCCTCCCCTGCCGGCACCTCTGCGGAGCCTTTTCCTGCCTTGTTTCGCTCCTGTTGCCCAGGCTGGAAAGCAAAGGCGCGATCTGGGCTCCAGCGATTCTCCTGCCTCAGCCTCCCTAGTAGCTGGGATTACAGGCACCCGCCACCATGCCCGGCTAATTTTTTTTTTTTTTTTGTATTTTTAGTAGAGACAGGGTTTCTCCATGTTGTTTGGACTGGTCCTGAACTCCTGACCTCAGGTGATCCACGTGCCTCGGTCTCCCAAAGTGCTGGGATTACAGGTGTGAGCCGCCACAGCCGGCCCTTTCCCTGCCTTCTAAACAAGTGGCCAGGAATTCTCCCCCTGCACTGGCCCCCCAGATTGTGTGGCAGGCCCTGCAGATGGCACAGGGGACAGGTTATTCCTTGTGGAAAGCCAGGCCCGGACACCTCTTAGGCATCGTCTGTTGGGGTGACCCTCCCACACCCAGCCTGGAACCCTAGCCAGCTCAGCCTCCGTCCGCTGAGAAATCAAGGTGACCTTCTGGCTCAGCCCTCAGGGGGCACTCACCACACAAGAGGTCCCTTTCAAGACCCCCTGTTCGGGGCTGGAGCCCCCAGGAATGGTTGGGGCAGCTTCCTGGAGCCTGGGAGCTGAGGGCATCTCATCTCCCCACAAGCGTCTGCTGCTGCTCCTGGCTGCCACCCATCCCCGTGAGATGCTGAGAGCTGGATACTTGTCTGTGCGGGTTCATGGGAAAGGGAGAAAGCCTGGCAGAGGGTTGGGAGCTAAGAAGCAAAGGGTGTGGAAGGGCCATCATGCACTTTTTTTTTTTTTTTTGAGACGGAGTCTAGCTCTGTCGCCCGGGCTGCAGTGCAGTGGCCGGATCTCAGCTCACTGCAAGCTCCGCCTCCTGGGTTTATGCCATTCTCCTGCCTCAGCCTCCGAAGTAGCTGGGACTACAGGCGCCCGCCACCTCGCCCGGCTAGCTTTTTGTATTTTTTAGTAGAGACGGGGTTTCACCGTGTTAGCCAGGATGGTCTCGATCTCCTGACCTTGTGATCCGCCCGTCTCAGCCTCCCAAAGTGCTGGGATTACAGGCTTGAGCCACCGCGCCCGGCTTATGCACTTTTGAAGACTCTACTTGCCATTGGCCACCCCACCTCTCCCTGCCCTCATCCAAGGACGGACAGGCCTGGCAGGTGGGCCGGAGCCGTGGGGCAGAAGCATCCCAGGCCTGGCCTCAGAGGAAGGGGCCACAGTGAAAGTGGAGGCTGTCTGCACCCACCTCCCCAGCCCTTGTCTCTGGGACCTCGGCCTTACCCCAGGCGCACCCCAGGCTGCTCACCGAGGTGGGTGCCCTGCCCACCGCCAGCTCAGATGCAGTGTGTAGACTCCCTTCTCTCTGGGGGTGAGCGTGAGTTCCCCCTCCTCCACATCAGGAGGCTGGGAGAGAGCTGGAGGGCCCTGGGATCTCCCTGACCCTGGTCATCAGCCCCGGCCATGATGGGCCCTGCATGTGCCATGGGTTTGGACTCAGCACCCCACTGGAATTCTGTTAAATCTCTGATTTTATCTGAAAACTTCCCCCACATGTTGCATCGCTCTGTGAGGCGTCCGTGTGTGTCCAGGCAGCAGTAACAACACTACTAACGCTGGCGGCCGTCACTGGAAGCCAGTCCCGAACATGCCTGCCGCCCCCCCAGGGCCTGTTTCACCCTCATGACACCAGGTGTGGCAGAGACCGGGACGAGGAGCAGAGGCCTGGACCTGTCAGGGTCTCAGCAGGGGGAGGCTGGCCTGTCACGAGTGTTTGATGACCATGGAGAGGAGGTGGTGCAGGGAAGCGTAGCTGCTTCCAGGGGAAGGGCGGGCAGGGGTTCTGCATTGATTAAGCGCCTACTGTGTGCCAGGTCCTTTGTGGTCTTCATTTAATTTATTGCCACAGCCATGGGAGGGACAGATGAGGAAACGAGGCTCCAGTGAAGACACTTGTCCAGTCCCCTGGCTGTGGAAGGTGGGGAAGGGACGTCAACCTGGGCTCGGGAGAGATGAGGAAGCTGAAGCCTAGAGCCTTGTGGGGTCTGGAACTGCTGTCCTCCCGCTGGGGCGGCACCACCTGCCTCTTCTTTTAGAGCAGAGATCCTACAGAAGCTGGGTCCTCGCCTGTCAAAGGCAGACGCCATTCCTGACCACGTGATGGCCTAGATGCGACCAGCGTCTGGGTGTCTGAGTGGGAACTGGGAGGGCCCGGCCAGGCCCGGCTCACGGTGACTCTGCCTGCCTTGTGCGGCTGAGAGCTGGCCTCTCCTAGACTTCGCTGTCCACTGACGCCCAGTGCCCCTGCAGCCTTCTCTTCCTGCCCCCATGAAGGTGACACTCTCCTGGAGGCTGCTTCAGCCCTCTGCCCAGAGAGCAAGCGGAGGGGCCTGGGATCCCACCTGTGTTCCTGTCTCTATCCCTCCTCGGCTGTCACCAGCTTTAATTACCCCGGCTCCATCCGCCCCGGCCCCTGCGCAGCTGGAGAGCCTCTTGGGCGGGCGCAGGGCCCCTCGCCTGGGCACGCCGCATTCCTGCATTCCTCCCCGGGGCCCGCCGACCTGCCCTGCCGGCTTCGGGCAGCCTCGGGATGCAGGGAGCCGGGTGTGTGTCGGGGGCGCAGCTGCTGGATGGGGAGCCTGGAGACAGCCCGGCTGTGCCCTGGGACTCCCAGCCCACATCCCCCTGCCACTCTGCATCACGACCCTGTCCCGCAGCCTGGCAAGAAGTCAGTGATTCATCACTCGGGCCCTGGGGGCTGCCTGGAGGGGCTCGGGTGCTTCTAACAGCAGGGAAGGGAAGGCAAGAGAACCTTCCACAGTTGGGAGCAGCAAAGCGGCCCAGGAAACCCCCCACAGGATGGGACCATCTGAGGTTCCAGCCACGCCAACTCCCCGGAGCAGGGCTCCCAGCCTAGTGGTATCTGGACAAGCCCTGTCTGGGGTTCACCTTCTCGGGGAGACCCCCTGCTCTTTGGGCTACTGTCCCGGGGAGCCTCCCCCTTCCTGGGGCTGGGTGGACCAGCTGTGAAATGGCAGCTCCCCCTTGAGGGGCTGGGGAGGGAGGAGGGGGCGCTGCCCCCCGGCCCTTCCCTACCCCCAGGCTTCCCAGATGGTCTGCCTTCAGCTCCAAACAGGAGGGGCGGCCACCTGTGAGGTTCTGTGGGGCCCTAGTGGTCACTCCCCAAGCTGCCTGTGTCCCTGTGTCTGGACAGGCACCTCTCCACCTCTGTGTTTGGGCAGCTCTCCCCTTGTGTCTGGAATTTTTAGAAAAGGGGAAAAAACGTAGACGAAAGCAGGCTTTTTATCTTGTTGAACGCTCCCACACCCTCACTCGTTACACCATGGTAGTGGAAGATTCAAAGGAAGGTTCCTCCTGCAGTTCTTGACCGGGGACATTGCAAAGGTCACATT